CTACGTGAAAAATAAATATGATTGAGATTTGCTGGGAAAAAAAGCTTAGGAAGAACAAATACAGGTGGTACCTTGAAATTTGACCTCCAAAAATTTGACCATCCCAAAAATTTGATGGTTGAATTTGCTGGGAGGTTGACTTTCAATTTGACCTATGCCCCACAATTTGACGTACAGAGATGGGCAAAAATGTCAAATTTTATGTAGAAAACATCACATTTGACATATATTGCTTGACCCTAGTCCAGCAATGGATTAAAGTTGAATTGAAGGGCACAACCTTTTTCAGAGATCAATATTTCTATATATGGTTAGGATTTTCTTTAGAAAACATTTTTGTAAACAGTATTAAAAAACTTGACTGACTTTGGATGTGACATGTTGCTGAGAATTCAGGACGTTTTTTGTCAGTTTGCAGATTTTTTAATTGAAATGAATCAGCACACTTGGTTTCCAAGTTTCTATTTATATATTCCACAACTAAATTTCTTGGAATGTTTTTCTGGTTTGAAGGGGGACAAAAAACAGCTTTTCAGTTGTTTGAAATGGAAAAATTTCATTTCAAATGAAATTAAAAATAAAAGATATATTTGAAAAATTTAGTAGATTAAAAAATTAATCTAAAAAACCATGTGTTCAAAAAGCAAAAAATAACCTTAAACGTGGTGCACATCTATTTCATTTGTATTTAACTTCTTCCCAACAATCTCCATGCGCACATACTATAATTATTTTATTCTTTTTAAAAAATATTCTTATAATTATTCTTTTGATCTGCAAAATTTGATCCGGACAAACAAACAGACAAGAAAGCGAGTTAATAAAAACGTGTTAAAAAATAACGCATCAGAAATTAATCTTCCATAAACAACCAGAATTTTTTTAACGCGCAAAATATTGTCCATTATCCGGGGTTTCCCCCTCGTATTCGGTATTTGAACTCGCTCTTGATCCTGAAAATAATATGAAGAAATGGTGCCCCTGCAGCGCGGGCTCTTTTATTGGGTCTATCTGAGGAACCCGGCTGAGCATCACTGCTTTCTTTGCAGTGATTCTAGTGTGCCCAAGCGAGCACCAGCACCAACTGACGCTGTTCTTTTTTTTTTTCCTGTGCCTCAAATTGTATCGAAAGACTAATAGGAGATATTTTTCTAACTCGAAAAAGAGAAAAGTGATTCATTTTGAAAAAGAAAAAAATAATTATACAAGGGTTGTCCCAATTAGACGCGACCAGTGATATTTTTTTTTAGTAGCAGTGATTGTAAAAACAAAATCTTGACACAGTCAAGGATGTTCAAAGGTTTTTTATTTTATTTTTAAAGGTTTTCAATTTATTGTGATGATAATAATGGAAAACTTTCCAGTTGCAGCCAGGATACTCCACTCATGTCACAGAGTGTAAAAAATTTGTCTGGCTAACTAAATTTTTAACTTTTTTCTTGTTTTATCCATGATCTTTTCTAGATTTTGATGATGCTTGAAGAACAACAACAAAACACTTTTTTTTTTAGCTATATAGCCTGACAAATTTAAAGCCCCCTTCAGCTGTGACATGGGTGGAGAACTCTGGCTGTTATGTGGAGAGTTTTTGCTTATCATCATGCAGTCAATTGAAAAACTCTTTTTTAAGCCTAACCAAAATCTCAGGATCTAAGAATATCATTGGCTATATGTCATGTTTTTTTTTTTTTTGCAATCTCACCCATTCCTCCAAAAATATTAGAGGTCACGTTCAACTGGGACAACCCTTGCATGTGTGTTTACCCTGGGACAATCGAAACTCGCGAAAATTTAATGCTGCACCGCCTCGGTTAACGGACTTTCTTTTATTCAGATTATGGGAATGAGTTTGAGTGCGAAAATTTCTGCTGAGAGTGTCATGTTAATTTCTTTGGAATAATTAATTTGTGCCTTTCATACAAGCTTTTAAAATGCTGTATTTTGATTGTGCCGAACATTGTTTCATGAAGTATGTTTTTCTGAATGATTTTATTGTTAATTCGTTCTTTTGATTTTTCATTCTTTGAATATGTGATGTGAAATTAAATGTGAGACATATCAAAATTATGGCTGTGAAATTTCAAATATCTCAGGGTCTCATTTGATTATAATTAATTTGGAAATAAGTCTTAGTTATAAATAAGAGGAACATTCCTTCAAGTTGTCTCACTGACTTAGGCCTAAAATAGCAATAAAACCAACCATAAATTAAGTAAATTCAACACGTAAAAAATGTAGGTTGGCAACCAAAAAGAGCATTACATTTTTTTAAAGAGTAGGTTTGTGTCTTCCTTTGTATGTTGTTATTTTCAAGGGATATTCAAATCTCTGTTTGTCATGTTAAGGTAATTTTTCTGAATTCATCTAATGTCCAAAAAATGGGCGTCCATTTTTTATTTATATCTTGTTGTTAGAGTTTAGGCTGAAAATTGAAATTGAATCGAGAAATGTGGTCTTAATTTCTCTATCCGCAAAACTTTCAAGTTTTTGTGCATTTAATTTTCGTTTTTTTTTTTTTTTTTTTTTTTTTTTTTTTTTTCT